AAGATGAAGATAAATTAGCTAATGCTTGATGCTTTATTTTTTGCTTACCTTATAGGAAAGCATGTGGTTATTGGTTTTGTCTATGACTTCTTTTGTTTTTAAAATCTTTTCATCAGAATACTAAATTGGTATTTGGTATTAAATCACATCTCTTATTGTGAAAACATATAGGCGGTGAAATGCTTTCTTTAGTTTCCCTTTCTTAATTTTTTTTTTCTGAAAAATTCCCTGAATCACTGATCTTGAATTCCAGTTTAAGAAATTAGAAGGCAGAATAGAATAGAATGATAAAGTAACTGACTATAAAGTCATGTCAACTTGTTAGTTGAAATGCTTTGAGGGGCTCCATATGAAACAGATTTCAGAATGTACCATTACAGGAACACTGAGGTGCCCTTCACACAAAATTTTGAATCTGGAAGAAAAGCTGGACTGGGTTTCTGAGCAAAGATGAAGTGACAGGAATATGTTTTTATTTATTTCTCTATTAAATTCACTGGTCATTAGCTGCATTGTAGGTGTGCAGTTTGCAACATTTTGTTTTTTTAGTTCTGAGTTTGGTTTTGGGACTCTTCTTGATTTTCTGTTTCAGAAAACAGAACTAGGCCACTTTCTTCTGTTCTCAAACAAAATGTGTTGCATTTAACATAATCCAGCCAACAATTTAGCTATTTGTTACTTGCCTTCTCCACAGTTGTTTGTTTTTTTTTGTGCAATATCAAATCAGTGGTTGGACTGTCAGGAAAAATATCCAAGAATTCTTTATTTCTTTTTGCTACATTTTTCCTATCCTTACTGATATTATATTGGAATTTGTGTGATATAGTTTATAAAGAGAAACAATTTTATTAGATGATATCTGCCTCTCTTTCTTTCACAGCTTTCCAGTAAAAAAAAACCCAAACAATCCACTGACGTGTTTTGAAGTCTGGCTTTAATTGAACTGTTCGAGACAATGAAACATATTGAGGATCTTATTTGTCCCCCTTCAGTAGCCGTTCCTGCTTTGTTTGAAGTAATTGTTTTTATATATTAAATGACTTCCACTCAGGCTATGAATCTGTCAGTAGTCACAGTTTGTGCCCTGCCTGGCTCTTTAATGGTAATCTCTGATTGGTCACACTGTTCCCAGCCTTTGGAGTTTGCTAAGATCTTTTAGAGAAGAAAGAGATGGAGGAGGATTGAAGTTATCTGTCAATAATTAGACAGGTGAGCACTTCATGCCAGCTGTGAAAAAAAAAAAAGAACTCAGCAATTTAATCAAATGCCAAATATGAGCCACTATGTGCCGTTGTTCTTGAACCCTGTGAGGCTAAATATGAATAATCATGCTATGGCTGTGACTAACACAGTCACAGATGGATTCCACTTTATTTTGCATGGCTATTTTGCCATTAGTTTAATTTGAAAGAGAGGGTAGTAAACCAATTTTTATGGTTGCACAGTGGCATTAAATGGTGAGTTTCATGAAAGACTAGTAGAAGTGATAACAGTTTAATTTTAAATTTTGTAAGAAAACAAGGAGAGCAAGATAGTTGTCTAGAAAGATTTGTTGCGCTAAAGGAATATTGTATAAATCTTGTTGCTGTTGTTCTTGCTTATGCAATCTCTGAAAAAACATAGGGCTTTTATTCATCTTGTTTCAGAAATAAAGTGCGCTCAGAAAAGACAGTATGGTGATTATTCTACGTAATTTGTAATAAATTTTAGGGACCCAGATTTCCCCTTCTTAAAAGGAAGTAGGAAATATTTTGGGCTAAAAATGTGATCACATGTAAGATACATTTTGTGAGGAATATTGCGACCTCAGGATGTGTTATGTACCATCAAAGACAGAGAGGTCTTAGGGAGGCATAGGATAAATAGATATGCTGAAGAAGTCGGTAGTAATGTCACCAAGGCAGATGGTAGAAGTGGAGTAAATATTCTTGGCTGAAATCAGAGCATTGTCTCCGGGTCCCTGCTGAAGAGCAGGGTGAGCTGCTGCTGCCACCCACCATGAGGCAGTCTTTCAGGTGGGATGCATGGTAGGATTGTGCCTGTAGTTGGCTGATTCCAGAGGGAGAGGAAGAAGGATATGTCTAACTGCAGAGGTGTGAGCTTATACATGGAGGACAAGTCTCTTCATGTGTGTTAAAAGAGGCTAGCACTTGGATCTCATTTGACATTCAGCAAGATGCTTGGAAACAAGATGTTGCTGATTTTCTGATGTTAAATTATTGTGTACTGGCTTACTTTTGAACAGTTGTAAATGTATCATGAGGAATTGTTCTTGGGGGGTTTTGTGTGGTTTTTTTTCCCCCAAAAAGTTTTCTAAAAAACTCCTCTAATACATGCTGGTTTCATCTGAGATAGAAACAATTTTCTGCTTAGTAGCTGGCACAGTGCTGCTGTTTGAAGTTAACAGGATACAAACTTGCATGTTTAATACTGAAAGACAAAAGAATGCAGTCATCTGAGTCCGCTGAGGCCATTCCCTGTTTTTTGTGCTCAAAATAATCTTCCTTTTTTATTCTAACTTATTAGGGTGGTTGGTATTCTATGACAAGCTGTGTTTTCTTGCTTGGGTTGATTTGACTGTAATGACTCTGATAATTTTTTTCTCAAACCAGAGAAATTATATAATTATATAATTGCTACTGTGAAGTGGCTGCTAAGAGTAGCGCCTTCAAACTCAGACATTCTTCACTTTTCATACATTTCATCATGTCTGTTGATTCTGCTCGCTTCTTTTTTTCTTTCTCCTATTTGTATTGTAAAGGCAATGCATAAATCTTTGTTCATTCTCTCCCATTAAAGCCCATTAAAACACTTCTCTGGTGCACTGCCTTGGGCTCTTCTTTATACTACAGCAAGGCAAGTTTCGTTTTCAGTTGCAACTACAAATGAGCACAGAAAGCTGAATTTTAACGTTAAAAAGTTCCAGGGTTTTCACAGGTATCTGGAATCACATTTACAGACACAAAAAAAATAGGTTAAGGACTTGCTTTGGTCCTCAGAATCTTCCTCTGATGGCAGTGACTCTCAAGAAATACGCAAAGTTTTAGAACAAAGTCACCTTAAAACTGTATTTTTATAGTATTTTTGTTCTCACTGTCTCTCCACGGTTTGCCTCATGCATTAGTTGCTCATAACCATTGGAAAACACTGAGTTACCACAGTTCAGGTGGTAATCCATCTGCCATACTTCATAGAGCAAGAGGAAACCTCCCTCTAGCATATCTGTTTCCTGAATTTATACTTCTTCCATCTGGAGATGTGGGAAAACTATGAGAGATTAAGATAGTTCTGGAATATCTGCTTTGGTACTTCTCAAGGATGAAGTGTGAAATTTCTGAAACTTTCCTAAGAGATGGGTGGTATCAGTTGCTGAAACTCATAGTGAGGAATCTGTAACTTGTACAGTTGGCTGCTGTGATTGCTTAATAGGAAAATGAACAAAAAAATCCACTCCAATCAATGAAGCCTTCAGCTTTTATTTAAAACCAGAATTGATTGACTGCACTATGCATTTTTATTGACTTAGTAAACTAATACTAACCTATCGATGCACGGGTGACCCCTGATGAAGGGGAGAGAAAATGATGCATCTGACTCCATCATCAGAACGCTAAAGAATTACTTTATTATTCTATACTATATACATTACATCTAAAATGAGTCTGCCTTGCACTCACCCTTGGTGCACAGAACTGCACTCCTCTTGATTCTCCTGTGACTGTCTCATGACAGTCCAACACACACACACTTCTTGGCCCTGATAGGCCAAGGGAACAAAACATCCTCACTTTGGGTAAACAATCTCAATATTGCATTCTATTTTAGCACAACACAGGCACAGCAAGAAAGATAAGAATTATGTTTTCCTTCTTTGCTTGTCTCACAGCTTCTCTCTGTTCAGAGGGCATGTAAATACCACACCAACTCCTTTGGCTCAAGCAAGAGTGTGAACACTGTCTCTTCCTCACTTTTGCCTGTCCATTCAACCTGTAACTGAGAGGTGAACAACCAACACCAAGTGTTTCATCTTGGTCTCCAGCTCTTTCCCTGCAGGGGAGCTGCCAGGTTGCTCATTGAAGCCCTCATGGGGCAGCCGTGCAGGAAAGATCACATCTGCCATCAGGTAGTGAGACTGTTGCCATTAAAGTCAGAGTATGGTCTAGAGCTCTGACAACACCAAGAGCTGCTGCTTTACCCCTTTGTCTGAAGTGCAGAAACAACTGGCTGGATTCTTCAAAAAGAATAATTCTTTTATGCATCTGTATTGATATCCCTCTCAAGTTTTACTGCATCAAGAATTATTTCATGAAATGGGGTTACCTTTTATCTATTTATTTTTGTTTTCACCTTTCTTTTCTGGCCATAAGTACAGAAGAATTTGATTTTCTATTACAGAAGGAGCTTCCTTGAGGCTTTAACAAGTAAAGTGGAATTTCTTTAAAGAAATTTTCTTCTTGATTATGATTATGTATACTTTTATATGTATGTTGGTAGGTGTACAAGGCGGATGATAACAGTTCTGCAAACTGCCATGTTTAATTTCCACATATTCATGAATTCTTCATAATCTGAAATGTCTTGAAAAATACTGTGTGTTGAAGAGTTTGGGGGAAAACACAGAAAACTTGCTTTTTTTGGTTCTTAAAAATATAGAATATCTGTGTTAACATAGTCTAACCCTGAAGTACTAAGGTTGCCCTTAAATTTCTGTCCAGGGCCCCCAGAGGTGATTGCACTGTGCGGGAACCTCCAAGTTACACTCCCATCACTTATCTTCTTCTGAAGTAATCAGTGTGTGTCAGGGGAGAGGAGGTAGCAACAGAAGGCTGTGTGCATCTTGTGTCTCTCATTCTGGGTTCACGGGCTGCTGTCTGCTATGCAAATGGTAATACAGAAGAGAATAGAGGAAGTGGCTTCGGATTTATATACGAGTCAAAAAACAGTTGGCTTGCAGACACTGGTAAATGTAAACATAGATATGGTTGTTTCTCTGTTTTTAGGAATACACTATAGATATAATTTTTGCCCAGACTTGGTATGACAGTCGTCTAAAATTTAACAGCTCAATGAAGGTGCTTATGCTTAATAGCAATATGGTTGGAAAAATCTGGATTCCAGACACTTTCTTTCGGAACTCAAGGAAATCTGATGCTCACTGGATTACAACTCCTAATCGTTTGCTTCGAATCTGGAGTGATGGAAGAGTATTATACACTCTAAGGTGGGTTTTTATTATTTGGGTAGAAGAATAACCAAAACGCTCTTATGACTAGGAATATGAAAATAATGAAAGTAATGAATATGAGTCAAATTCCTGGCATCTCTTTTGTTACGGACCATAGGAGTTTGCCAGGAAATGGTTAAAAAAGAAAATAAAAAAGATCATTCGATCACAAAAAAGATGAAGTTCATAATATTGAAATATAATGCAGAGATAACTGCCTAAGTACAACTGAAGGTGACAGCAAATTTTGGTCTCATTTAGGTACAGGCAAGATTTAAAAAGGGTGCTGTATAGTATATAGCATCAAGGTGGTCTATCACTAATATACTGCGGATTAATTATTTTTGGTCTAAATATTCATAATCTAATTTTCACTAAATTATATTCTGTAAGTAAAATATTAAATGCTTCAAATAATTAAAATTATAAGAAATTTTATTAAGGCTAAGGCCCCAGTCCTGCATGTATTTCTTTATGTATTTACTCTTGTAAGCTATTAAAATCAACAGATCTGTTCATCCAAAATAGGCATAAACAAACATGTTGGTGATAATTCCCCTTGGCAAATGGGAGATGCGTGCTGCTTTTAAGCTTAAGACTATCTGTACTGATTTTTGAGTCACTTTTCAAACAGCTCTTGAAAGGCTGTAGTCTACAGAAAGTATTTTAGGGTCATCTCTATCATATTTTCTAAATATACCAAAAAATATTACAGTAAGTCAAGAACTGATCAAGAAGTAGTCTATGCAGAGGATGCCATGGATATGATTTTGCTCTTAAGATTTTATTTATTTATTTATTTATCTATTTAAAACAAAAAGTGGCACTTTTAATTACTTTCTTCTCAGTCATTTATGCTGTGTTCATATGCAGTATATGTTGTATAAACGATGTATAAATTTTTCGTGTATCAAATGTCAGAAGAATTAGAATGCTTTATAAGGATTCTATTCACTGAATTTTTTCCTAGTATGCATTATTTGAGAGCATACAGACATCTCTGAAGAGCACTTTTTAAATGGCTTAGTATGCCAGTTGGTATTTATAAAAGTCTCTAGAGATCCCTTTCTGTTGAGATTCTATTTTTTTTTTTCTTTTTCTAATTAGCAATTGTAGAGTCATACTTGGACTTTACCCTTCCATTGTCCATTCATTTTCAGTGAAAAAATTCTTCTAAAGAGATGCAAAGTAACAGAAGGAAATAAATATGAGCAAAAAAAAAAAAATCATGTGAGCCCTCACAGAGCAATAGGTTAGAATTACTGTGTCAGAATATGAGAAATAAAGTGCAACGAACTGGTAACAGAACAGCAGAACAGGCTTTCACCCTGCCCTGCAACACACAAACATCTGTATGGGTGAAGATATGGCCTGAATTTGACCTAAGGTAAAACAACATTGAGAGGTTCATACCTGACTTATTGAAGGAACAATAACACGAGCTGACAGTGCTCCAGGTTCGTGGGCTCCCCTGTATCACCACTCTTTCCTTCTTGGTGATTCAGGGGGCAGACATGGTGAAAATGTTAACCAGCCTTACTGAATTTCCTCTGAGGGTGGCCCACGGTCTGTCCATTGCACCATCAGTGATTCCAGATCTAGTTGTTGTGCTTTGAACACAAGGCTCAGCTTGTTTTCTTTTCCTGTGAGTGTTTAACTATCCAAAAATTGAAAACCGAAAATAAAGTCAATAAATGCATAGATCATAGTTGACAAATTTGAAAAGCATCTCCGAGAACTGCAAGCGTTCTGCTTAAAAGTGTGGGGAAGGGTCTTTCTTCCTCTCTCCCACAGTGTATGCTACTAAATACACTTTTCCTTATAAACCTTTGGTCAGGTCAGAGTGGCAGTTTGTGTAGAATAAATACTTTGTTCAGACACTTACAAAGCTATCTGGCAGCATGTCTCAGAGTCTTTTCCTATCTCTTGTCTAATATGTAAGCATTGTACACAGTCAAGTATGTGAGCATTATGGCAATTTTTGAAGTTGATTTTAGAAGACATTCTGCCTTTCTATGCATTGTTGCCAACAAAGGAGGAGGTATTTGAAATGCAAAGAAGTCAGTTTGAAGTCTAGTCCCTTATTTTGGCTTACTAGCGAAAGGTAGCAGAACTGGGTTTTGCACTTACTGCTTGGAAGTCCTGTGGAAATCTGTGATAGCATTTTCAAAAGCAGAAAGTGATTTAGTTCAGACAATTATGAATACTAAACCAGTTCTATAATGTTTATAAGTTGTGAATTATTTGAGTACCTTAGATAGACATTAAACAGATAGAAATGTAGTTTGTTTTTTCCTATGTAAATACTGTTTTCATCAGAACTGTTTCCATGGTATAGAGCAAGTCCAATGTACCCCATAATTTTTCTCTTATGTAAAGCCACAAGATACAACAATGCCAAATGCAATTTGACTTGATAAATGTGTTCTACAAAAACTTCCTTCTTGTGCTATCATAAGCTCCTCTCCTTCCCCTGTCTTCAGACCCTAATTTTTGTCCCCTATTTCTTGTAGAGCTGAGAGGTGCCCCCAAATCAATTGAAATTTTGGAAATGGTCTGAAATACTAATTGAAACAACAGAGATCCTCAGGTTTCATGCAATAATAATTCTTGTTTTGTTCCCTGGTTCTAATGCTGGATTGTTTTTGTGATACACAGGAGGCTATTCATAATATCTGTTAGTTGGCAAAATTTATTTCTGTGCATGGTCTTTAATATGTAGTATGAAGTGTCTGAATTCTTGAATGTAACCTATTTTCTTCTTCCCCTTCCTTTTCTAATTAGGTTGACTATTAATGCTGAATGTTATCTTCAGCTTCATAATTTTCCAATGGATGAACACTCCTGTCCTCTGGAGTTTTCAAGCTGTACGTGGTAAAACACTTTTTTGTCCTCTTTACATTCAGGCTTTAAATTTACTTAAATTTTGGCATAAGAAGAGCAAATGTTTATTTTTTTCAAGGCTTGCAGCAAAAGAAAGAACTGACCATTCATGTTTTGACTAGATTTATTGCATTGTTTAATATACTATGAATGAGTTGAATCACATGTATTTTTTGCAACTTTAAAAATAGTCTTTTTGCTTAGGAGTCTAATACAGTGCCTATTCCAGTTAATGGAAATGCACTGTCCTGGGAAAACTTTGTTTTCTTATGCCTGCAAGACTTGCCAACTTTGAATTAGTTCTATGTGGTATACTTAAAAGGAAGAATGAGATATGTCTTCTTCAACTTGCTCCTGTAAATGCTGAATCAGTAGAAGTCCTTTTCCTTTCTGTGGGACTTAGTCTATATGAGCAAAAACACAACCTTCAGGCTCTATGTTTTGATGCAAACTATGTTAAAAAGAAAATCCTAGGGAATTGTGCTATTTTAATCATATAATCATTAATGTTGGAGAAAACTCCAGTATCAAGTCCAGCCTATGACTGAACACCAACTTCTCAACTAAACCATAGCACATAGCACCATGTCCAGTCGTTTCTTGACTGCCTCCAGGCATGGTGACTACACCATCTCCTTGGGCAGCCCGTCCCAATGCTTTGTAACCTTTCAGTGAAGAAATTGTTCCTGATATCCAGCCTGAACCTGCCCTGATGCAGACATGAAGCCATGTTCCCTCACCCAGTTGCTGACCGCATGGGACAAGAGGCCAGCTCCTGTCTTGCTACAGCCTCCTTTCAGGAGGTCTTCCTTAAACCATCAAATTATGCATTAAGAAGTGTACTTTTAAGCTCTTTCTGATCATTTAATGATAATGTAATGACATTTAGGTTTTCATAGTGATGATTCTGAGCCAGCTTTTAATATTGGATTTTGAGAGTGCCAGATAGATATTTTTTAAACATTTGAATTTGTACAGTTTTTGATTGGTCTTACATTTACCTAGACTTAAAATTGAGGCCATTTATTTTGTGGTTGAATTTTAAGTGTATCAGAAGGACTATAGATGGTCTCAGATCCACTTTATGTACAGACCTGGTATAGTTTATAAATAACTTCAGAGATCAGAAAACGTGCTTTAGTACATTCTGTGGTTTGTGTTTTTTTTTGTTTCATTCTAGATGGATATCCCAGAAATGAAATTGAATACAAATGGAAGAAAACCTCTGTTGAAGTGGCAGATCCAAAATACTGGAGATTGTATCAGTTTGCATTTGTGGGGCTACGAAATACAACTGAAATTTCTCATACCTTGTCTGGTAAGGCAAAGTGTTGAGTTTTATTTTGTGCAATATCTATTTAGATCAACACAATAGATGAAGAACCGAAAACCACATTAGATGTCATATAAATACTTCTTATTCTTTTTTTTTTAATTTTTAGGTGATTATATTATTATGACAATATTCTTTGATCTCAGCAGACGTATGGGATATTTTACTATTCAGACATACATTCCTTGTATACTCACAGTTGTTCTTTCATGGGTGTCATTTTGGATCAATAAGGATGCAGTTCCTGCAAGGACTTCACTGGGTAAGAATGTCTTTTTTCAGCCTTGAAGGATCTGGTAGTCCCAAAGAAAACAAATGTGCAGCAGGGAGTAAATGAACCACAATTTATTCCCCTTCAGATTGTGACCATTCGTGTTCTCTCTTTTGAACTGCCACATTGGGAGTAGGAGAATCCTGCTGTAGTTGCATGGCAGAGTTTAAGGAAGCAAGGCTGAGCATGGAAATCCTGATCCAAGTTTGTTGGTCTGCTGTTGTTCACATAAATATGTTTTTTCTTCTTTATGTTTTTTTTATCATTGCCAGGGATAGTCATGTGGCAATTATTAGTCTGACACTTAGCATCGGGGAACAAATGAAGTCATTACTACATGACCAAAAATGGTGAAAATCTGGTTTCGTTTTTTTTGGGTTTTTTTGTGTTTGCATTGTTTTTTTGGTTGGTTTGTGTTTGTTTGTTTGTGTTTGAGGGGGTTTGTTTGGCTTTTTTTTAGTAGAATGATTCAATTATTCTTTTAGACCCAGGATAAGACAGAAAATTTGCAACCAAAGTTGTACTTCAAGAAGTTAAGCCTATAATTCACAAAAACTCCTGCTTTTACAACAGACAGTTCTGAATTGTGTTGCAAGTTCTAATACAAAGGTAATTCTGTGTTAGTGTAATCTTGGTTCACCTGTTTAGCACAGCATCAGTCTGCTAAGTTTGACTGTTTAGGATTCCAGTGCTGCCTTGGAGGAAAGTTGTAGTCCCCACGTAAAGCCTGATAAATGGGTACACGGAGTGCACAGGACACAGCTTCGGGCTTAGCAGGGACAGATGCTTATAGGAGAACTAGTGGCAGCAGTCTAACCTATTTTGGGGGAAAGGTCAAGAGCTGAGAGTTGTGTCTTAGGAAGTTGGAGATGGGAGTTAATTTTCCTCATTAGCTGTATTGCTGTGAACACACCATTCCCACCCTACAAGATCATTTGCTACCAGAGGCATGAGCCCACGCTTTAACTCCCTGCCTTTCTCACTGAAACTGGACCACCAGCAAGTCTGCCAGATTAATGAGTCAAGAGAGAAAGTATGCAAGAGCAAGCATCGCTCAGTAGCCTAATGGAAAGGTAAGGGAAGAAAATCTCAGTTTGGACCCTAACTTTATGTTATTTGAAAGTGCTGCAAAATGTAGTGGAGTCTAAGTTCTCAAATAAATAAGTGAAAATTACTTTTGATAATTTTAGACCTTGATGCAGAAAATTCATCAGATTTCTTTGACTCATTGAACATCATTGTGGACTCTGACTAGTTTCAATACAATAGTTAAGACAGAAAAAAAGTGTTCTCTTGGTATCTTTCTAGTTCTGTATCCAGTTTTTTCTTTTTACAAAGCACTTGTTATATGCCACGAACCTAAAACTCCGTCTTTGATGTCACCGTTAAGCTGAAGTTTTCGATCTCTCACTTCAGCAGTACTAGCCTTCATCTACTCGAGATGGAATACAAACTTTTGTAATATCTTATTTAGAGTTCCCTGCAGGTAACTCTGAACTCCTTTCTTGTAAACATGCAAAAGCCATCACATGACAGCTTGTAGGATGACTTTTCTTACATGCAAATATTCTGGAGGAGGAGAAAGAGAGTACCTGTCAAATAGACACAATTTTATGGAAAGAGAAATTAATACAAGAAAGCCAAAACTAAGCAAGGTTTATCAGGGCAGGGAGCTGTTTTGCTGTTGAAGGTTTGCTCCCTGACAGCCCCCTGTGCCTTTCACATAGCAGACAAGGCTGGGAAAATTTGTGTCTCTTTTTGTACTCTCTGAACGGAAGTCAGTACAGGGAGTGATGGATGCCACTTCCCACCTGGAGGGTGTGCTGGGGTCTGGTACCCTGAAAAGGCTGGACCTTTTTCTCTCATATCTATTAGAAGATTGTGGTTTCCCAGAGCAAAAGATTTGAGGAGATTACAGATATTTAAATATTTAGTTATACAGAGGAATGCCAAATCAGTTTTCAAAAGTATCTGGTGGGACTGAAGCACTTTTGAAGAGCACTTTGGTTGTCTGTTTGCCCCTTTAGGCATGTAATTTCATTGGGAAATCTGTTGGGAAAACACTACTGCCTTCGTGCTGCAGGAATAGTCCATAGCGACCAGTGATTCCATGCTTTGATTTGTGAGCCATAGACAGTTTTAGCCTGGTGTAATGCTTTTTGTTTGTTTATTTGTTTTGGTTTGGTTGTTTTTGTTTTAGTTTTTAATAAACTTGTGCATGTAAATAACAAATTGTTTGCGTGTTCAAGAATTGCTTTTCAAAGGAAAGGTCACACTTTATTTTGGACTACTGTATAAATGGATTTGCATCTCCCTGAAGCATCAAATAGAAGAAGAAAATGTTAAAACCTTATAAATTCTAAACTAATGAAGAGTGGTATAGTTGAGATTTTGAACACATAGCTATTAAGGCCAATTTGTTCTTTTAATTAGCTTGTATGTAACTGAATCAAGGGAAACATTTTCTATCACTTAAGACATAGTGTTAAAAGCATATCTGGTAACTTAGACAATGAGACCAGAAAGCCGTGAATGTCATCAAATTTGATCTTCTATGTCTTCTTCAGAAGCAGACAATTGGAAACATTATTCATTTTTCTTTTGTTTACCAAAAGCTTGAAATCATTGATAAATAATACTCCTTTTATTTCTGAATGCATCGTTTTTAGCATGTTAATTGTTTGAGCTGAGGGACTTCCTTGTGCTTATAAAATTTGTGTGGTTATTTGTACCCATTTTTCTACTGTATTTATGTGTACATTTCACATCAGATTTTTTAAAAGTTAACAAACTTAGTGTCATTGTTTGTTCAGTGTATGTTGAAAATAGGAGGGATTTAAAGGGAAGGGGAAATGTGCTGCTTTCTCTATGATCCCATGGAGGATGCTGCATCCATAGGGATGGATTCTTGCCATAGCACCAATGTATGTGAATATAACCAGTGGTGAACCCACTGACCCCTCCTGTTGGTCAGTCCTTATATGACTCATCAATTAATTAAAAACGAATATGATTATTTTTGTTGGTGACAATATGATTTGATCACCTATACATTTCTTTCTTTCTTTTTTTCTTTCTTTACAGGGATCACAACAGTGCTGACCATGACAACGCTGAGTACAATTGCTAGGAAGTCACTCCCAAAGGTTTCCTATGTGACAGCAATGGACCTTTTTGTTTCAGTTTGCTTTATTTTTGTGTTTGCTGCCTTGATGGAATATGGCACCTTACATTACTTTACCAGCAACAGAAAAGGGGTCAAAGGAAAAGAAAAGAAGGCAAAATCTAAGCCATCAGTAAGTTTAGTCAAACAAGAAAAAAATAAAAATACAAAGTGTTTTTTTATTGTAGCATTCATTTTGAATGACTGCTCCTTAAGTAGAAAAGCTAATGTTCAAAGATAATTAACACTAATATTTATTTTTAATTTTTTTTTTTTTGCAGTTGGGTGCTTGTACTAATTTTATGTAAATACAACTAGTGAGCAAAGGGTTTATATGATTTCACATATGTGAATGAGGACACATGAGCCTAGGGTGGCTTGATATAATATTCCATATCCTTGGTGCTTCTAGAACTGCCCATGAAGTGTGTACCCACAGATATGGTTTTGTAGGGCACAGTACTTCTGGAAACAGCACCTGGCAGACCACAGCTAAAACTGTAGCAGTAAAGATAATGTGCATGGACTGAAAGTATGAGGATTTCTTTGGATCTGCATCACCTAAGTCTTACAAAGCTTTGAAAAGGAAAAAAATGCTTATTATTGGCCAGTATTCTGAATCCCACTACAGAAATTCTATCTTAACTCTTTTCTAAATTGGTTCCTGTGTTTCTTTCTGGCTAAATTAACCTTCTGCTTTTACAAGTTGATATTTTTATGGTAAACCTCCACATATCTCAGGGTCAAGTATTATTCAATTTTAAGTCTTTCTGTTTGTGTGGTAAGAATATTGCTATTTCCAAAGAATTTATTGTTGGAAGTCAGTACCAATATTTAAAGGTAGTCTTTAAAGTAAGAAAACATTGGAGACAATAAGAGAAAGGAAAATGTTATAAAACCCCTTTCCAAATCATCTCATCAAAAGATGCAGGAGCATACCTGAACCATAATACCAGTTGCCTTTTCTGGATGAAGGCTGAATACCAGCTCTGTATGAGGTGAAACAGAAATGGATATGAAATTACTGAAGTAATTGCAGGTATGGAAGTGCAGAAATCCTGTTATGAACCATATCCATTCTGCGACTTACGTCAGCAAGAACTGGTGCACCCATTCTGAGCAGCACTGCTGTGGGCCTCTCTCTTACGGGGAAACTGCGAGGCTGTTGGGGGTTGATTCCAGGGAAATGAGAGCCCTTAGGCTTCATTTGGTGAGCTGTTCCAAGGGGATCAGCTATGTATTTAGGACAAGGCCAGTGGTGAAGTGTTAATACTTCCCTGTGCTGCCTTGGTAAGACATCACTGTGATCCTCAGGGAATCCAGCACAGTCAGGAAAACTGGAAAATGGAAACCTCAAACTTGCTTCCTGTTAGTGGTAGAAACACATGTGGGAACAAGAGAAGGAGCAGAACACAGGCTTTGGCAAGGGCATAGCTGAGTTATGAGGGTAAAAGGTAACAGAGGATGTGGGGGCATCACAGTGTCAGCATAGCTGAGATTCTGTTTCAGGTTGCTGCTGCAACGAGGTCTCAACAACGCTCGGTGAGCGGGGAGCTGAGTAGATCTGCTCTTGGCATGCACAGTGAAGAGCAGGTGAAGATATCAGGATGTACTGCTGTATTCAAACCAGGCAGTTATTAAAGATCAGCTGTTGACAAATCAAAAGACACTGAAGCAGTTCGCAAGTATGTTCTATTGAGTGAAAGAATGCCACTCTGCAGAATCTATTCACAAATCACCCGTGTGTGCAATAATCTGCCAAATGCTTTGAGATTTTCAGCGCATACGAAAATTTTAAATGCAGAATAATGATGAGATAGAAACTATGAACTTACTGAATAAATAGCTGGAATTTGCACTAAAATTAAAATTAGCAATATAATACAAAAATACTGTTCAATCATGTTTTACTGGGTTCTTAAATGGTGCTTTTTCTTTCTAAGGAGTTGAAAAAATAAATCTTCTTGAACAGAATATTTTAAACATGCTATGGCTATAAGACCATACGAAATAAAGAGATTACATAAAGAAAGGGATAATTAAATTTAATATATTTAGATGCATGGATTCTAATTTGGTAAAAATTTTTCTGGTGATGTTTTAGAAAAAGCTGTGACTTTTCTTGCTCAAAATAAATAAAGAAGGTATCTAATTAGTTAATGGGAAGTCATACCATTACAAATCCTTTTATTTTTATTCTTTTTTTCCTTTTATTTTTCCCCCTTTATTTTTGTCAAGAGAGTCAATTGATAGACTTCTATCAATTCTTTTTGTTTTGTAGTTTCAGATATGTAACTCAACAAAAACAGTTTAATTTTTAAAGTCGGTTTAATTCTTTCTGAAAACTCATTTATAAGTGATTTTTTCCTTGGGAAACTTGCTTTGCATAGATCTTCTATTTCTACTGCAAAATGCTATAAATGGTTACTACTCCAGGAACTGATGCCAATAAGCCACAATAAAGGATCTTGTGAAAAAAAATGGCGAGATTTTGCAGATGATTACAGCAGTTTTATCTTAGAAAATATGTGCTGGCATCATTCAAGAAAGGTAGTATGAATTGGCTTATACAAATCCACATTAGTAAGGATAATGAGTTTGGGCAGGAAAGATTAAACTTAATTAGTTGTGGATCTTGTTCTCGTCATCATTCACCTGAAATAAATGTATTACCTGTTCCATGATCTCCACAGAAAATGACTTCCTTTTTTACTTGTATTAGTGTTATTGCAGAATAATTGGGGTTTGATCCTATCAAACTGTATTATAAATGATCTCACAATACATGCTGTTTTATCTACAATTTCAGTACTCTTATCCATAAAAAATCAGCATGTACTTCTATATCTACACGTTGTGGGTGTTTTGTTGTTTTGTTTTGGTTTTGGTTTTTTTTTTCAGTTTCTTCCAATTTATACAAAGGCATTTTCTTGTTAGCTGTTGGTCTTTTTTCCTCTTTTCCCTCTCATTGCCTCTTACACACATTTTTTGTACTTCCTGTGGATAGCTAAGCCTACAGGATGACTGTGTCTGCACCTAAGCCACCTCTTCAAACTTGTAATTCAGTAGCCACCTCCAGTCTTTGCTGGTGTTGTGAACAGTGGAAAGCAGTACTGTAATTTTTTCCTTCTCCCATCATGTTTCTATGTTGAGGATTCCTGTTTTTTCCCACTAGTAGAAACAACTCATCCCATAAATCTTACATGGGCAAAACCAATAGTGAGCAGAGCAGACTAGGTGTGAATCAGAAATAGGCACCTTTCCCTGTTTATCTTCAGCAGAATAAAGACTTTTTCTTAATTTCAAAAATAAATTGAACCTATTTTTAATGTTTTATAAAAACAACCTCACTTTGCAATGCCTCAAATTAGGATAGAAGCATATAACTCCTGTTTCTTAGTACTGTCAGTATTTTATCATAACTGAAAAGAATAATGAGGTCCTTCAGGATGATAATTAGCTCCCTAGGTCATCATGTATAATCAGTTTTGAAACAGCAGTCTGTGTGAAACTTTCTCTGGTAGAGACACTTATTTAATAAAACTATTTGAAAACATGGTGGATACTGCACTGCATTAACACCATCCCTTGGGATACCGGGTAAAATGCCCCTGAAGCAAAAGAATGTCACCTTAACAATGTATAGGGGTCTGTGTACTGGCCAAAGTAATTCCCAGGAAGTGAGACAACAGGACTTTAAAGGATAACAAGAAGCTAAATGAAGGCTTCCCACTTTCCATATTTTTTCATGTGCTTTCATTGTCTATCATGTATAATTGGTTAATAATATCCTGTTATATTTTCTCACTGCTTCCTTTCCTGCTGTTTTATGTCCTTACATGACAAAATATGAAGAATGTGGAAAAGAGAGAACACAATATAAGAGTAGTGTTAATGTAACCCTTCTCTTTGGTCTGAAGATTTTAGAAGCGATGCCAAATGTGGGGTGGGGTAAGTTGAAGAAGGATTATGGAATAGTTTAAAACAGCCATGAGATTTAGAAAGAGAAGATAAAGGACAGATGAAGAGAATATATTTTGAAACAACCAGGGAAACAAGGATGATGCATATAAAACTGTGGAGAAATGAAGAAATAAAAGGTGAAAATTGGGTTGTATTAGTGTAAGTAAAAGGAAGGTGGAAAAGCAAAAGTCACAAGTAAGGGAATAGCAAACACTCTATGTACTAGGTAATAAGCCACACAGATTTTTTTGATGAGAATTATAACATATTACGCTGAGTTTTTATCAGGTGCAAGAAGATTGTTACATGTCTCAGTCTGTTAAACTTCCCCAGTGATGCTGTGTTAAACCCATTTACAAGAAGATTGTTATGACCACAGAAAGTAAAAGTAAGAATCAAGAACTTAATTAATTGGTGACTTGAGTGGCATTCTCCTAAGGAGCCATGTCTTGGATTCTAAAGGGGGGCTGTATTGTTTAGGGATTTAACATTTGAGGGTTAGATGGCATAGCCTGCTCTTACATGTCTCAGTCTGTTAAACTTCCCCAGTGATGCTGTGTTAAACCCATTTGCTTTTTTATTTTTGTGAAAATGTAGCTTCCAGAAACTCATCTAGTCTCCTAAAGACTCCAAAAGATGGGAGGACCACCATTCCTTTTCTAGTGGTGATTATAGCCTGCTTGTGGACTTGACTGTGACCCAGTTATCAAGAAGTGACTGACTTCAAAATGTTTGTCTGTGTTGTGTAGATGGGATCACCTAACCCTGTCTGTGTAACTAATTATCTACTATTCCCAAATCCCAGCACAACCCAGTTTTCACTGTGGCAGGTGAAAGTAGTTCATGATCTTTTGCCTGCATGTGCTAATTACATATAGCAGTTCATAATTTTCTAAGCTCCCCAAACTATTTTCTTTAACACAAGAATTTCTGTATATTGTACTGAAGGTGGTTATATTGCCAGGGAAGGCCTATGGAATTATTTAATGTGAGGATAAAAGCACACAAAACTATATTTCCCTTTTTTTTTTTTTCTTAAGAAACCACCTGCAATTGCTGTTCGACCTGGATCAACACTAATTCCAATGAATAACATTAATCATCTCCCTGAACGTGATGATGATTATGGATATGAGTGCCTAGAAGGAAAAGACTGTGCTAGTTTCTTTTGTTGTTTTGAAGACTGCCGCACAGGATCTTGGCGAGAAGGAAGAATACACATCCGTATAGCAAAAATTGACTCCTATTCTCGAATCTTCTTTCCAACTGCCTTTGCATTGTTCAACCTTGTTTACTGGATTGGCTATCTTTATCTGTAAATTTCAGAGGTTTGACAAACTCAGAAAAAAATATTGATTGAATAGTCATTAATACTTTTAACTGAGCAAAGATTAGAGCTGGTCCAAAATGACTCAAATTGTTTGTATGCTTTAAAAATTTGAAACAATGAGAGGAAATATGATGATGTAGTCTCCCTCTTGTGATCAGCTGTAGAACTGATACTAGTATTTTGAAGAGAACATTTTAAAATAAATATCCCTAAGATTTATCTTTCCTGAACACACATACATACATTTTTTTCCAGCTCTAAGAAAATGCAGAATCACAGGCTATGCTATTTAACTGAACCAACCATAAGCTCTCAATTTTAATCCTAAATGACAATGCAGAAGGATTTTGTAGCATCTCTTACACCTTTGCAAAGAAAGCCTTAATTAAATGGGATTAGTTACTCTCATCCATTTCATCCATAAGGTGATGATTTTACTAATCACTAATTTTAAAAAGTTGAAATGTAACATTTCTCTTTTCAGTCAGCCATTTGTTCTATCCAGTATGTTAAAAAGTGTGATTAGATGATAATTAATCAATTCAGATTTATACAGAATGCAGATATAGGAGCAGCTAGGAATGGATGTGTCAAAACGCCCAAGGATAATTCTGAGCTTGTCTTATCTTGACCATGGATAGAGACTTTTGGCTTTCAACCTTAGATTACGTTTATATCTGTGCTCCATTTCCTGTTCCTGTTTCCTGCTCATTGTCGTGAGTTCCCCAAAGTTGTCCAAGAGGTCTACAACTTTCCGAAATTCTTATCCCGCTGCCATTGCCTGCTCAATTCATGGAAAGCAGACTGGTGTTGGCCCAGATTATGGCCATTAAGCATAATGTTCTTCACATACTCAGTGTTGGAGAAAAAGTTATAACCCTACATTTGGAAGAATTTGTATCAGCAGAATTTGGAAGGCCTGTTACAGCGCTGTGGTCATTGTACTCAAAGTGTTAAATCCCCAGTCCTAAGAGGGCAGTGTGGGATCTGGCCCCCTTTGCACACAGCATGGTTTTGTAGATCCGGTTTGTTACTGCACATGCCGCTCACTGAGCCAGAGCCAAGTGGCATTAATGTATTGAATGTGTAGTATGGATTGATGGTTAATTACCTTCTTGATATTTGTTTGCTTCTAATGGAAAAGATGTGTTATGGAGCGGGGGTAAAATAATCCTTATGCATTGCTGAACCTTCTCCAAGATGGGATACATCCCCCCAAAATCGTAGGACCAGTTGTCCATTCTTTCTGTGGTGAGAGCTTTGGTAGAAATCCTTCAGGAGCTGTCTTTCTGTACTGACCTGTTGGTGTTGACTATTGCTGCCGGAAGCATTTCATATCTAATTTCTATTTCTAAATACATTGTCTTCATTATGGAAAAGTGCGGTCTTTCCTCCTTTCTTAAAGACAAATTGGTCTCAAGTGAGCTTGCAAAAGTCACTGTAAAATTAAGATATGCATTAAGTAAAAGTCAGCATTACACAGAAGACCTTACAGATCTTTAAAGAGGATTAATGAGATTAGTATTTGGCTGTAGGTAAGGATGTTCAGTACTAAAGATATAGACATGATTAATAGCTAAGAATAGAAAATGTTACATTAAGAGCTCTCCCCTTCCCCCAATATTTCTGTTGAATATGCTCCCTCTTCTGAATTTCTCAGAAAGGATTACTGTATTTATAGTTCAGTTGGTACCAGGCATAGCTAGATATGATATACAATACACATTTCAGAGGAAATGTTATTCCAGTGTTGAGCCCCAAAATTTAATAGATAGTGTGAGATTATGTGCAGTTGTTATGGAAGGAGAGAGGTGTGACAAAAGATCCAATTTTAATGAAAACTTTTTTCAGTATTTAGCTGATGACATATAGGAGTGGTTGGGAGAATCTGAGAGCCCTGATGATGAGGTGGGCTGGCATTATTTGTGGTATGACCTTTCTGAGTACCAGCTCTTCTGACTGTTGGACTGAGTGTAGAAGTGTGGTATCTTTAACAACAGTGATCTGCTATAATTTATTGTTTTTTTAGAGTCTCATTTTCATAAAATGTTCAGTCCAAAAGAAACATGTCAGTTTTTATTCCATAATGTAGGTTGATGCTTTTTGACAGCATGCTGAACACTTTCTTCTGTAGGAGGGATGAAGGTGGCTTCAGCAGTATGTTGGATGTGTGCTTGAAAAGCAGTCAGCTTGCTGTACAATGCAAGGCCCAGATTTAGTGAGTCCCTGAGGTTCATTAATTCACCTTTAAACAAAGGAAACTTAAAGGAACTTGGCACTGCACAAGAGGAAATTCAAATTTCACAGCCTGCTCTCCTCTGGCTCATCTAGTTAGCTTTTTCTATTCATGTGGTTGTCAGTTGCCAATCGGCCTCCAGTGACTGAATTGGAGAACTGAAAACATTCAGAATTGGCAAGGGATGGATAAGAAGTCTTTCATCTCTAATTTCTATGGAACAATGTAATGGAGTATTAAACCTATTGAGTGTTATGGCTGTTTGGCTTATGGATACACTTGCTTCTGTCTGTTGACAAACTTTTCTGTGTACTTCATTTGTTTCTGATGAAATAATTTTAGTTTCTCATAGTACTGTGAGTGCAAATAGGAATGAGAATGCAGTGAAATGTAACATGGCATGTAATAAATTTGTTATTTTAGTCCTATCCATTTTCTTTCTAATCTGCATGTAAATGTTTGATTCCAAAAAATCTAAGTGATACTTTTAAAAAATGGCAAGAAACAAACAGTATAATTAATTGGAGTTAGATGCTCCAATTTTTCAAACTTAACTGGATAAAAAGTTTTTTTACTCTTACTTGGGATCATATTTTTGGGAGTCATATTATTCTGACCATCGCTGCATAAGCAAACACTTAAACATATTCCTAATTAGTACTGTTATTAGACCAGAATTCAGAAAAGGGAGTTCTTCTGTACTGTCATGAAGTGTGATGCTATCATGAATTGATGCCATTAACACATGCTTAATTTGCACTAATTTCAATAATGAGTGTTCAGTAGCTCAAATAATTGAATATTAAGGATGTGAACCAGAGCCTTTTCAGTAAAAAAATTTCTTGTAGAAAGAGAGGGACATAAGAGGAGAAATTGCTCTAAAGGCAGAGAGGGGGAAAAAATCTGGGAAAACTGTTTTATACTGCACCTATCTTTGGCATATCTTGAAATGTATTTTTCAAAAAAGAGACTTTTCCTTGATATTTCTGTATTAGTGTTTACCAGCTGTCTGTTTTAGTAGTGAGTACAGATCAGTGTGTTATTTTTTGGTAAGGTTCTGTCTATGATTGTACCTCACTGAACTTCAGTGCATGTCTTTTGCGTCTGAATAAATCTGTTTTATGTAGTGGCAGTGCAACCAAAGCATGAACTCTGAGTAACGTATTTTGTATTCACATGTTGATATGCTTCAAAGACTTTAACCTTATCCAGTTTTCTGGCATTCAGAGATATAGGATTGTGTTAGACTTTGCAGGAGAATCACCTCCAACAGTATTTTTATAACTTTCTGTTCTTTATTTGGTATGGTCGTAAAACATTTGTTTAAAATTGATATATGAACTGTGCTTTGTAATTTGTGAACACTTTACAATCAAAAGAGAACAGGTGGAGTCTGGATTTAAATGTCTATCTGCCTAAAGTAAGATACGTTTAATTTGATTGTATCACTCATAATTTTTGTCTGCTGTTTCCAAATAGATGAGAACTAGTGCAAATACATTTTTCTGTTACTATAATTATTTTTGTAGAATTCATTGTAATTTTAGTTATATCTTAAATGTGATCTTTCATGTTTATGAAATGATACTGTATTTTTTAGTCATTATAATAGATACAGAAGATAGAAACTAATGTACAATTCCACAGCTGAAAAATACAAAGCCAGGAATCAGAATTACTGTGCTTCTGTTCCTAAAAAAGCTCAGTGGAAGTCCACATGCCTCATGAATGTGCTGGAGGGGGAGATTGACTCACAGGGGGTGGTAGAATAGTCTCCAGACTGTAGAAAAGGCCTTTGCATTGGTTCATGCCATGAATTTTCTACAAAAGTGGTTTAAATGGAGGAAAGGAATAGATCTATCCTTTTTTTTTTTCAGAAATCTCTTATTTCTGCTTCATTTCAGTCATCAACAGCAGTTCTAATGCTCTGTTTGTTGCCACATGAAACAAAACCTGAAAAATTATCTTTATTTTCCTCTTAGTTGGTTCATATTTCACACAGATGGGTGGGATCATCTGACTGAACACACAAGATTATAACCAAGTTTTTCTCCAAGGTGGGTGGTGGGAGTTTGCAGCTGGAGGATGAAGGATGGCTTGTTGTGATGGGCATTTTTCATTCAGTTGAGAATCTGCACTGAAAACTGGTGGGAGGAAAGGAAACAATGGTATAAGGGAAAGATTGATGGTGGCAGTGATCCCAGAATCAAGTTACATGGATCTCAGTGACTTATTTTTAGTTCATAGGTTTCTCACTTGTATTTATGATAATGCCCTTGATTTCTCTGCAGCATAATTAAATATTTCTAATGTTTTAAATAAAAAGGAAAATATTGTCTCTTTCCTATACATTAACTACAGACTAAAGGAGAAATAGAAAGTTATCTTGTGTAAACATTTTGGTGAAATGTTGAACAGAAAACAGAGATCAGGTTATATGAGAAAAATATTTTTTAAAATCTCCATTTATTATTAGAGATAAAACCAGTTTTAAAATTACTGAGTACTAATTAGTGCAGTAGGCACTGGGAAAGACCTAGTATCCAGTCTAAATTGCTGTTAGTCCCCTCAAGGGCTAAAATATTTAGGAATAGAAACCTGACTCAGACTGTGCTCAGTTATCATCCGCTATTTCCATCAGGAAGTGAAAGATGAATTGTGATTATGCCAGACATGAACTAGGATAGCTGGGGTGCTCCAGGGAGGTGGTTTCTGGTTAGAAGGAAGGGTCATTTCTGCCTGAGACTGTCATTTGAAACATTCCCTCAGAAGATGCATCTGTTCTCTGACTTCTATGATGATGGAAAAGCATCCCTACATTTAATGTTTATCTTTGCACAAGAGCAATTTCACTGAATTGACTGTCCTGCTATGAGGCACTGAGATATTCCCTGTGTGGTGTAGAAGAGTTTTGGTGGCACTCCTGGGCAAAATGTTTAAATCTTGTCACAGGGATCAGTCACAGTTGTCTTCTGGATGTTATGATGACTGTAAAAAGGCAGTAAATAAACTTATGATTTTACTTACTAGTAAACCTCACTGAGAAAGCCAGAGGGGTAATGAAAGCTTTAGCAGAAATCTCAGATGGCCCTAGGAGACAGGAGATTGGCTAAAACTGAAGCAGACCAAATGATATAGCCCTTTTTAACATAGATGGGTCCTGCACTAGTAATATGTTGATTCTGAAAAAACTGGAAAAGCCTCATGGTATTTTAAGGGAGAAAAAGATCTATAAAATTCTTATTCCCCTTCTCAATGACTAACCTTGCTCTGCCTGCAGACTGTCCTTATGGTACATCAACCTCACTTAAGCTGTGTGAGGAGAGCCATGGGGGATGTAAGACAGAAGACCTGTAAACTGTTCTGGCTTTGTTCTGGCTTGTTCTTTCTCAGTTCCTTTTCTTAGTCAAGAAAAGAGGTTCAGAAGGGTAGGCGTATGGCATGTGCAAATGAGGACAATTTTACTACTGACAGCAGGGCCTGACTGCCACTGGCAGGATCAAGAGGGATGAGACTCTGCTCACAGTCATAAGGCTTGTCTTTTGTAATTCTTTGTAGTAGCTACTTTTCCATACATCACTGTGGGCCTACATGAGATTCACAATATTTTTCAGGTTGGAAGTAATTCTTTTGTGTGTTTCTGGCTTCATACAATATCTTTATCATCAGGGTTTGAGCATTGCTGAATTCAAAAGGAAAGTTTTCCTCTTGAAGTTTCCTTGTCCAGGCATTGCAGGTAGGAGATGCCTTCCTGCCAAACATTGGAAAAGTGATTTTCACTTGATCCTGCTAAGGAGACCCCTGCTCTCAGGGGTGGCATTAGGATTCCTGTGTCATTTAGACATGAGAATGTTGAAGGCTGTTAAAAGCAATGACCAGTGCTGCCTCCACAGAGGGTGTATTACTTTTGCTAATTTGATATTTAAAAACAAATTCCAAAGCTGTTACCGTGGGTGGGAAATAAGGATGAGCCATCATTTTACTACAGATATATATTTCCCTTTGAATTGTTTTTCTTCCTTAGGAAGATGGTATATTAGGAATCTTTTGGCTTGTGAAATATTCAGAAAAAAGGGGATGGTCACTTTAAACAGTAAAGTCATGTTAGTCCATCTGCCCAACGATGGCCTAAGAGCAGTAGAAATGAAAGCACTTGCCCTGTAGTTCAGATTTTCCAGGAAGGATAAATATGGACATTTGCATATTCATAGGCCCAGTATTAATATATAATCTATGTTCACACTTTAGTCACTGAAAAAAATCTTAATGTTTTGTGCATCTTCACAGTATCTTTTGTATTTCCCACTGTTGTCCACTACAAACACTTGGGCTCTTTGTCTGAACATGAAGAGTTGTGTTATGATACTTTAATTACAGTTTAAATTGCTACATACTGAAGAATCTGATAATCCGATAGTGATTCCTATATTTAAAAAATTGACTATTTTTACTTGTTTTACTTAAGCATAATACTGCTATAATTTATATTTTCCTGCATTAAATTTTTATAAACAATTTCAATTTATCATATGAACACTAAATTTTGCAGAAATGTCTTTGAAAAATAACACTTGTTGTTTTATGATATATCTCAGGGTATTATTTATTTCAAATAAATATTTATTTATTTAAAAATAATTATTTATCATATTGAGGGTCCAGTATTCAAATGCACTCTTATTCCAAATCTCTGTCGGGTATCTATAGTTCACATAATGTTTCAGTTATTCAGACTTTGCTTCTTACTAGTTCGTCCTTGTTTTTTATTCAATGTTTATAAAAAATGCTGATATTTTTAACTACCTAAGTGAATATTTATACTATGCATTTCATTTGATAGAGTTTTGGCAGCATTGGACAATGTTGCAATATTATACATCAGTGTTTCTTTTAAAGTTATTTATTAGTGCCCTTGTGGATAACTTACTGTAAGAAATATGGAATATAAGATAAATGTTGTAACTCTCTGTGCTGCTTCTAATGTTTATATATATAAGTACGTGATACTGAAGCAAATTTATTCTTCCATTTCAGTTTTCCTTCCAAAAACATCCTCAGTTGGGGTATTATTTTTATTATTATTACTATTATTACTATTATTATTATTATTATTATGCTGATATTATCAGTTCTGCTTAGTTATTTGGTACTTTTCCAATAGTCTTGGAATGTATTCATCCATTATTAAATTAAATTACCTGGAAACATCAAGGTATCTTCATAGTCTTTCAATGTGATTAAGCCATGACTTCTTCAGCTTCTCTAAAAATGCCATAATCTTTTGTGTGCAATACCAAAACTAAAGCATTTTCAGGTATTAAATTGAGTTTTACTTGCTTCTCAATTTTGAAAAAGTCTGTCTGCTGCATTATAATGAAACACTGATAACATCATTTTTATATTTGACAACATTATTAATGATCATGGCTGAACCAGAAGACTTCAGAGTTGATAAACAGATTATGCTCCTGACTAAATCCCATGTACAGCTAAATGGGCATTATAGAAATTATAATGGCAATGGCAACAACATGTATATATATATACACTGAAAATCAAGGTATGAGAACTTATACATGAGTTTCTGATTGTCATTTTAACAAGATTCCTCTTGCCAATAAAATTTATATTCTAAATGTGACCAAAAAGGTCATTAAAAAAAACACTTAAAAATTTCACATTTGGCATGTAGGAGTGGTTCAGAAGCTTAAAATAACTGTGGGTCTTCATTTGATGGGTTTTGTGGATTAATTTTTAATTTTACTCCTCTTTACTGAAGAAGAAAGAAGAGATAGGCATGATATCACTAAAGGTAAATATTAAAATACCATCCATGTGAATAGTATATTTTCATACATATCTGTAGGTAGGAGCAAATTTCCTCATTTTCATCTGCAGTTGCAGAGTAGATGGATTCTGCTCTCTGTTTTCAGAACTCTGTTGGTATCATGGTAAAAGATCAAGTCAGAGTTTCGCATTTTTTATTATACTCTTAATTTTTGGATGCCTTATTTTCTGATGTGCAGTTTAAGACATGAAAGAAAAAAATCTGCTTTTCAGAAGTTTAGGCCTTTTTAAAAATTATCCCTTGAGCATTCAGCTTCAAGTACTTAAAAAAAAGTAACTAGGCATCACTGAGTGTTTTAAATAAATTGGATTGCTATAGAATAGTGTAGAAAGTTCAATTAAAGTTCAAGGCTAGAATTTTGTAGCCTTTGGGGGAATTTTCTTTCTTTTTTTTTTTTAATAGTTTTCTTGACATGTGGGAGATGTGAAAGCAAAGGGACAGATTTCCTCCTATGGTTGCTTGGTTTTCTTTTGTTTTCAGCAGCACAGCTCATGCAGGATGGTGTATTAGCTGCTAAAAGCTGATTTTACGGAAGGGCAAGTGAGACTTTGAGACTGGTAACAAGAACACTTTAACGGGCTCAGAAAAGGAGATGCTTGTGGCCTTCATTATCAGAAGGAGCTTAGAGGCACAAGGCTTTGGAAACAGAAATTCTGAAGTAAGGTTATGAGAAAGAGTTGGATTATAAGGACCTCCAGAGAAAAAAAAATCTCAGAAACCTTTTGCCAGAAGACTAACAGTGGTTTGAAGGATAGGTTTTATAGTTCACAACTCTCCTGTGAATGTTAACATCTATTGAATTTTCATATAAATGTTGCACTAGTCCTTGTGCATTGAAAGGAAGTGTGTTTGCACCCTGGTGCATGGTTCATACAGATGTTATTGCGATGTAATCTGTAATCTTCTAAATGTTAAACTCTGAAAGCCATAGTCTTTTGAAAAAATAAATTTATATCCCACCATTGAATAACATGTGTTCTGTGCAAAATGAATGGATTAGATGTTTGTGCTCTGATGTCTCTTAAATTGATAAGAATCAAGGGAGTTTCAACACTGAATTTTGTAAAGCAGTTGTAATGCATTGTTTATGCTGTATCTGCTGTGAAGTTGATTAGTTACACTGTGAAAAAAAATAAATAGTGCCTGGCTACTTACTTTCTTATGCTATTTATTTTCTATATGCAGTACATTCTTTTCTCTTTACGACAATGATGACAATGGTTTTTCTGGTGAAAATAGTTTTACACATGGCTCTGATATACAGCAATTCTTTATTTGCTTGAAATTTTTCCCTTCCCCTGCCTCTTTTCCCCTCCTCTTTCCTTCCTTTGACAACAGCAGTCATGCCACAGAAATAAAGCTCTGGAGCTAAAATTCCACTTTTATTGGTCATTTTGTTTGTGACCAGTTTTACAGCTAATAAGTATGTCCTGCTTGTAACTGTATTGCTTTCCCATACAACTCTTTCACTTTGGCCAGCACTGGTGCTTGGCTAATACCATTCTCTTTTCCATTCCAGAATTCCTCATGGCCATGGTATTTGGCTCCCTCTTCTTTGTTCTGTCATTTTAGGAAAAGTTGTAATGCCCTATTAGATGTGCTTCAGGTCAAGGAGCAGCACTCATGCTGAAGCAAATATCCAGGGGAAAATCACTCCTCCTTATTTTCCTCAAATACATTCTGTTCTCTGGCCTGACTGTCCCACCAGAGAATCTGCCTGTAAGTGTCATCTTCCTCATATAGTCAGTCCCAGGAAATGTTTTTAATGCATTCTAAACTGGATGTGGAAAGGTGACGAAAGAGGGATTTAGTCAACGTGAAAACCCTGGGAAATAGTCAAAGATGTTTAAAGTCTCTGGTAGTTCTGGGAAATGCCACAGATATCTGCAGTCTCTTAGATATCATTTTCAGATTAAATTTAAGGATCCCTACTTATTTCCTTTAGCATTATATGTTTTTTTTTCCCCCTGGTAACTACCTCCAGTATCATGTCTTGACAGCTTACTTAAATTATTAATATCATTTCCTTTAAGATTGTTGATGTCTTGTCCATTGTACATACAGTGAAAAGAACTGTGGTACTTCATAACAACAAACCAGAGAGTTAAAAGTGTTTTGAACGGCTTTTTAGGCCAAAAGAATCAAACCTCTAATTTCCACAGTACTGTTGATGAATGAAGGACTTAGGCAAAGCCTTTATGTACAGACTGCAAATCAAAATCTGTCATCTGTATTTTTAAGGTAAACATTTTTCAGTATTATTGTCAGTGGGGTGAATTTCAGATATACATGCCTGTAAGGAGCTAAAATGACTTCATTTCTCATGGTAAAGCCAAAGTTTATTATTTTCTACCAAACTGAGACTACTATGACTTGGGGTGACACAAGCCTTGCTGACTAGAATTACTAAATATCAGAGCAGAGCCAGAACAAGAAAGTTAATTTTAAGAGTTTCCAACTACTTTATCTTATTAATATCTAAGATAACCTTTTAATTTGTAAAAATTAGTAAATAAACATAATAATAAATGAAAATTTCTTAATAATACCCAATTTTATTATTTGCCAATAATATCTGCAGTAGAAATTAAAGAAGTCATCTAAAGTGTGTATTAGGAACTCAAAGTATATACATGAAACCTGTGGATATTAAAAAATCCTAGTCAAAAGAAATGACTGCTTTTCAGAATGACAGGACTTTTCAAAGTAGTAGGTGAAGCTGTCTCTGCATTCCCTCTCATACCCTAAGGTCCTGCACTGGGTTTTTTTGTGAGGGAGTATCCTGGTCCACAATCCCTGAGACAGCCAGCAGAGCTCTCTTGGTAAGGGTAACATCTGTGGTGCTCTCACTTCTCTTTTGGGAAGAGGACTGTGAGCTCAGAAGTCATTCCACACAGGCCAGTGAGCAGGCAGCACACGGTAACTGTTCTCAGCTGATGTTAGGTACATACTGGAACTGAATATTTTCATGGTCACTGCCAGTTCCTCATGGATTGTGTCAGGTCAGGAGTTACTCTTCTGTTTTCTCATGTGTTCCATCCGACCCGAAACACTTCAGATTTCTTCATCCCTTCTCCTTTTTTCGAGTTTTGGCTACCAACTTCTCATAACTTTCCTCAGCAAATCTGGTTCTCGGTTCTTTTCCTTACATTATAAATCACTTGTGTTTCCTAAACTTCCACTGTACTGTCTATCCTTTTCTCATTTTCTGCACATTTGTTTTCTCATTTTCTGTTATTGCTTGGTTAATTCACACTTTCACAGCAAGAATTGCAGAGGGTGAGGGATGATATCTGTGGAAGTGATGCTGGCATAAGAAATGGGACATTTCCTCACACAGCAGCAGCATCAGGCAGTGCAGTATATCAGCATCCTGCTGAGTGAAGAACACCTCAGAGATTTTTGTCTGGTATAAGTCATCAGATAAGAAATAGAAAATAAGCAGTAGATCTTTCTTAACAGTCTCCTAAGGATGTCAAAAGACAAAAAGGACCAAGATCCTTGAGAATGATTTTTGTTCAGATTGTTGATTACATGGTCCTGCTGTTGGGGTCAGGGGACTCTGAACAGCAGAGCCTCCAAAGATGCTTGGGATCCTGAATGCAGGGGATTCCTTACAAAGTGTTTGGAGGGATAACATGGCAAAAGTTTGGATACTTTTCCTGCCAGCAGTACCTAAAGAAAAGGGGGCACCAACACCTCAGCAGTGACCTTATTTCCCTTCTCCTAATTGTTATTTTCCATAGAGATCCCTACTAGAAGACTTGGGGGCTGTGCTCAGAGCATGAATCAAAGGTTAGATATGAGCCTTAAGACTCGGATATCAAGGTTGTCCTTTTCCTATACTGACACTGAATCTGCAAGACTCAAATATTTTCTCTTTTATTTGAGGGAAATAATTTTGTGTGTCTCAATTTACATCTATAGAATGTCAATAATGCTACTCATAAAGCTGTTAAAATTAACATTGACTTAATGAATGCAAAGCACTCAGCTTTTTTTTTTTTTTTGTAAAGAACTTGTCAGAAAAATAGAACAAATTATATTTGTGAACTTCAGTTCTGAGAAAGAAACTTATGCATCCCCTTAATCAGAAGTGTACTGATTAGCAGATGGGTGATATTTCTGTGCCTGGAACTTTCCTAAGGTAAATAAATAAGTAATTAATGAAGACAAATCTTCAGAATTTAGCAATCAGGGTTCCCCTCAGGAAGTAATAAGGAGCAGAACTATCTGGCTAGTAAATTCTGAATCTGAAAACTCTTTGGAAAGAGGTGTGAAATTAAGAACTCCGATATCTTTCTGTTATTAATGATAATACACAAGAGCAATTTTATCCTTCTTATCTGTTTCCTATTTTGGGTCTGTTGCTGATAACAAAGCATGCTATCTTAATAATGGGCTTATTTATGGTTTGTCCTATAGGCAGTATTGAAATACTCTAAGACCTTCATAGTTGCAGTAAATTAAGCTGTAGTCACAAGTACAGCTCATCACTGGCTAGGTTTGAATGAGTGGGGAAAAAAAATCTGCCAGTCAATAGTAAATAAAGATAGCAAAGTTTAGTTGCTGTAGTGAGATTGCTGATCTGATTTTATTTAAAAGTTGACAGGATCAGAGTCTCAGTGTAAGGCAGCATTGCTCCTCTGCAATCAATGGAACTGATTTACAGCTGCAGCTGCAGGACAAAAATTATTTTATAACTAAAAGCTGTATGTTCTGATGTGACTGAGAAATATAACCAGTGTTTTGCATCAAAGCATTTGGTCTGGAATCACAGCCTTCTCAGCACATAGTAAAGTCACAGTGAGATCACATGGTCATCATTCAGACTGTCAGTGAGAATCCAGAACTGTTCCCATCAGAAGCTGATAGTTATTCCATGTAGTGAGCTGCACTGAGTACATACATTTGTGGCTTAACAACAGAGTCATCTCTGCTGAGAAATGAGTTTGAATCCCTATATTTGGAATTTCTACAGCAACATGCAAAAGGGCTTTGAAATATAATTTACTAAAATATTTTCACCATGTAGCATTTGTTGGGCTAGAGATGTTTTGCTGCCTTCTGACAATCCAGTGCTTTAAAATTCCAACATAATTATTTAACTAAATGGGAAAATCCTGTTAGAGACAACCTTCACATTTCCCAGAAGCAGCAATGAAGATAAATTTGAGTGTGTTATCGCCACAGCATTCCAAAAAACACATTAAGGGAAGTGATACATCAAAGCTGACGTGTCCTACAGACTGCCAGGGATTAGTGGTCAATAACTGGGCAGCAGGGCCAGAAGAGTGCAGGCAGCCATGGCTGGTGCCCTTGCTGTCAGAAGCAGTGCCCTGTAACAAAGGCAGCAGTTAGAAATTTGCAAAAACTTGGAAGTTGTGCAGATGTTAAAACAGCTGAGTACATACATTTGTGGCTTAACAACAGAGTCATCTCTGCTGAGAAATGAGTTTGAATCCCTATATTTGGAATTTCTACAGCAACATGCAAAAGGGCTTTGAAATATAATTTACTAAAATATTTTCACCATGTAGCATTTGTTGGGCTAGAGATGTTTTGCTGCCTTCTGACAATCCAGTGCTTTAAAATTCCAACATAATTATTTAACTAAATGGGAAAATCCTGTTAGAGACAACCTTCACATTTCCCAGAAGCAGCAATGAAGATAAATTTGAGTGTGTTATCGCCACAGCATTCCAAAAAACACATTAAGGGAAGTGATACATCAAAGCTGACGTGTCCTACAGACTGCCAGGGATTAGTGGTCAATAACTGGGCAGCAGGGCCAGAAGAGTGCAGGCAGCCATGGCTGGTGCCCTTGCTGTCAGAAGCAGTGCCCTGTAACAAAGGCAGCAGTTAGAAATTTGCAAAAACTTGGAAGTTGTGCAGATGTTAAAAGTTGTGTTTCTGGACCATTGCCATGTATGGCTTTGGGTCCCACCTCAAGCCCACGTGCTGTCATGTCCCTTAGGGGAGGACCCTGTGAGGGGAAGGTGACTCTGGACACCCACAGAGGCTTCCCCTGCCCTACTCTCCTGGGCAAATCAGTGTTCTCTACTGCATACACCTGAGTGATCCTTCACTTTCTACAATCCCATTTCTGATACTTAGTGAAAATTTAGCAAATGTTTATGATGTTTTCAC